GTGCATGAATGGGATCTGGCAAAAGGTAGAGTAATCAGAAGCAAAACACAATTTTACTCCAAAAGTAAGTTGTTGAAAATCTTTTACCTAAGTGCTTTCAGTTTCTTCAAACTCATAGGAAGAGATGTGACAAATGTAGAAAATTAAAAAACAGAAGCCACAATTAGAATCTGGAGACCAGAAGGGGGAGCTCTCATGTCCTGTGATGATAGCAGAGCCCAAGAGGAAGAAGAAAGACTCCTTTCCTGCAAGGGCTCAGCCAATGAAAACACATAGACTCTTTGTTTAACTACACCCCTCCAACTTCCTTGTCCTTTTTACAAAAGCGTTCTCCTTCCTTTGCCATTCAGGGGCTTGTACATGGCTTGCCTGCATGTGGCTCACCATGGTTGCAGACCCCAAGCTGCAATTCTCTGTTGATCTTGGATAAATCATCTTTGCTAGAGAAGTACCTGGCAGTCTATTTGTCAGGTCAACACAAGAATGTGTATAATATGTCCAGTTACTGGAATTCTGAGAACAGGATGGATAAGAGAGCTATTATGGGTTGAATTGTGTCCCCTCTACTAAATTTGTATCTTTAAGTCCCAACCCACCAGGACCTCAGAATATGACCTTATTTGGAAAAAGGGTCACTGCAGAGGTAATTAGTTATGATAAGGTAATACTGGAATAGGATGGGCCCCTGATCCAATATGCCTAGTGCCTGTGAGAAGGGGAAATTTGGACATAGAAACACACACACAGGGAGAACGCCATGCTAAGATAAAGACAGCTCAAGGTGATATGGTAGAAGCCAAGGAATTTCAGGTATTGCCAGCAAGCCACCAGAAGCTCAGAGAGAGACACAGAACAGAGCCTTCCTTGCAGCCCTCAGAACACACCTGCCTACACCTTAATCTCAGACATTCAGCCTGCAGAAATGTGAGAAAAGACATTTATGTAGTTTAAGCCACCAAATTTGTGGTTTGTGGTACTTTGTTACAATAGTGCGAGGAAACCAATACAAGAGATTATAGTTCGATAGGTAATAATTCTTTTAATCCCATGTTGTTAGCCCTTTATCTCATGACAACCCTTTATTCAACTGGCTTTCCTGAATCTGGAGCTTCTCTGGTTCAAATTATCCAGAGAATCACCTTCTGGTCCCTTACCTGGTGAGGGGTGTGGATGTGAGGGGAGAAATAGTT